CTTCGCGGCTCGGCTCTGGGCGCCTCTGCTCTTAACAGACTTTTCCTTTTCTTTTTTTAAAAAGCGGAGTTCCTCTTTCCAACCAGACCCCCTGCACTAACCGGCTGGCCTGTCCGCCGCAGAGCCCGGTTGCCCTGGATTTCTTAAAGGTTTTAAGCTGTTTCTCCAACTTGGTATTTATTTATTTATTACTTCTGGTGTTCAAAGACTGCGATCAAAGCTGTATCGAGCTCTTGGCGGGGCTCAGTTCGGCGCTGTGGGGTACTAAGTTCAAAGGGTTACTTGGTGGCCTGGAGGGAGCGGGAGACCTACACCCTGTGCCTGACACCCGTGGGGGCCCCGCCTCCGGGGTCACCTCGGTTTACTCTCATGTAGGGATTGGAGCCACCTCGAAAGAAATCACAGCAAGACCAAAACAAAAAGCAAACAACAAAAGAACAACCCTGTGTATAAATGAAGACTCCAGAAAACGGGAGTGCGGGCAAGCTTTTAAGCAGAGACTCCGAAGACCCCTCACAGGGGTCTTCACCACTGCCGGACCGTGACCTTGGGAGTGAGCTTGACCGTTCTCACTGCTCCGTGCTTCTGGACAGCTGTCACTGTGGGAGGCTTTGTCAGGGGGCGCCCAGGCTCCTGGGGCTTAGTCCCACCGGGCCCTTTGCTCTGCAGCCACACGGAGTCATCTTAGGAAGGCAGTCTTCCTGCCCCACCCCACGGCAGGATTTCCTCAACGTGGAGGCTGCTCTGAGCACCTGGGGTCTGTTCTGAACTCCCAAAAGCCAGGAGATAGGTGAAGGAAAATTGGGACAGCTCTGACAGACTCACTCAATGTGCATGCGCGCCTCCTTGCTGACTCCTGTCAGCTCCTCTAGTTGGCTTTTGGTTAGTTACCCTTGGCTGCCCTTGCTAGTTAATAGAACTGGATTTTGCTAGGAGAGTGAATTGTGCCTGTCCTTCGGGTGAGGGTGGCCTGAGAACACCCTGTGATTTACCCCAGGTCTGGCATTCCCCAGAGTCAGCGGTGAGGCAGGCAAAGAAAAGCAGAGTTGATAAGTAGGAGGCAATCTTTATGGAAAAAATAAAACCTCCCCTCCTCCCTATTTTCTCCAGTCCTTTGCCAACCCTGCCCCCAGATTGCAGGACTCTAGGGAACTAGCTGAACGGGAATGGCTGCTTGTTCCTTTGACAGGTGCTCTAATATTTATTTGTGTGGGCATGGGTCATGGTGGGAGGGATACCCCTTGGCAAGGAAAGCCCTGCCATGTGTCATGTTTAAAACTTATGATGAGCAGCTCTTCAATACTGTGGAACACATGCCTTCATGGCTCTTTTCCAGCAGAGACAAGACCCCAACCCGCTCGCTAATGACCAGCGTTTTTGGGGGGCAATAAGAGACTGTAGGTACAACAAAGAACAACCAAGATGTATTAGTAGCATTTGCTAAAATCAAAGGCATATAGAAAGGGTACTGGTTGTTTTTATTTTTTAATAATCTGAAATCCCTTAGAAGAGAGTTTAGGACAAATTCTGGTAAAGACTGCTTTCCACCTTGAAAATGCTACCAAGATAACTTGCTGGTCAGACAAAGCTGAGCTCCTTGCTTGCCAGAGTGAGGGAGAACATTGCCATGACATCTTAGTAGCATCTCAGAGGAAGTAATGAAGTTCACAGGAGGTAAATCAACTTGCTAAGGAATGTGTGTTTTCACAGGGCAATGAAGATACAGCATGAGGGACCATCTGGTTTAAAGGGAACCGTAAAACCAAGCCGACGGGGGAAGCTACTAGTTCACCTGCTGCCCCAGACAAGCTGGGGAGGCACTTGCCACTGGATCACGAGAGAGGCTGTAGTAAGCTATTGATCTTTTTTTTTTTAATCTTTATTTATTTGCCTTGGTAAGGAAAAAGTTAACAGTAAACTTCCCACCTCAAACTTCCATAAATGTGCTGACAATGTAGCAAAAATTTTACAAAAACAGCTTAAGAACAATTAAAGTGCATATAACTCTTTTTAAAAGCTTATATTAAATGTCCTTTACTAAGTAAAAAGGGAATTTTGCTTCTAATTTCCAGGCCTTGTTAAGTAGGCTCTTGGTCTTGGTTCTCATGGTGAGATCTCTCATGTTCTTATAGGTGGAAAGGTTTATAATATATAGTTAGGCCTGTAATGGGAGGCCTGGACATGGCTCAGTGGTTGAGAATCAACCTAGGATCCAGGAGATCACGGTTCAATTCCCGGTCAGGGCACATGCCCAGGCTGCGGGCTCGACCCCCAGTCGGGGGCATGCAGGAGGCAGCCGATCAATGACAACTCTCTCATCATTGATGTTTCCATCTCTCTCCCTTCCTCTCTCTGAAATCAATAAAGATATATTTAAAAAAACAACAAAAAAACAAAGCTCATTTGAACTCACAGGCCTGTTCAGGCTTGGGTTCCCAGAGAAAAGGATTGGTTACCAAGTACTCGGGTAAGTCAAATAATGGCATGGTAATTGCAGGAAAGTTGGGAATGCACTGCTTTGCAGTGGCCAGTGAGATCCAAGAATAACTGTCCCTTAGTTATTGGCGGGTAACCTTTTGCACAGCCAGTTGTCCAGAGTTAGGGGATTACCTACATGAGATAAACCTTGTCTTAGGTCATGGACTTTCCTTTGACAAATTGTTAACTTCTGTATGGCCTCTCTGAGCTAAAAGAACTCACCTTATCTTTGCAACATAAATGATCATTCATATTGAATAAAAATAGAATCACAGCAATTTAAAGCCCTCGAGGTCCTGGTTGAGGTCTTCTGAAAAGTAGAAGGGCACTTCAGTTCACTGAGGCATAGCGATCCAGGTATGTTCTTGATTTTCCCTGGAGAAAACAAACAGCTATTATTTTTTGATTTAAAGAGACACCAAAGAAAGTACAACATAGTGCTACAATTGTAAAACACGCAGTCAGACTCCTTAGGCCCTGAAGAGAAAGTATTTGAGTTTGGTTCCAGGGGAAGCAAAGCTGGAGAATGACTAATTTATTTATGGCCATGGGGACCTAAGTGAATCTATATTCTTGCCTACTGGGTTTCTCCATGGCACAATAGGGCAAGATATGAAGACTCCTTTCTCTTAAGGCTCTTGCTTATTACTTTTATTCCTGCTTTTAGCTCCTTGTTTTAGAGGCTACTGTGCAAGTTTGGGTAGAGGTTTAGATGAGTCAGTCTAAACCTTGATGAGTTTAGTGTGGAAGAATATAAGTAGAATTGTTTACCTACAAAAGAGCTTCAATCTGTGCTTGATCTACATACAAAAGTACTGATAAATCAATATCCAAATTAGCCAGGACCTCATTAAGAATAGAGATGTCCTCTGAGACTGGAAGGAAGAGACCATCAGGAGAGCTTTCACACAGTAAATCTCTTGTTATTAAGTTAATGAGGGTAGTGTCATGAAGAAGAAAACTCTTTGGTTAAAGGTTCAAGGCTAAAAAGGAAAGGAAAAAAAAGAAGGTTCAAGGCTGACAGTTGGGGGGTGAGGTACCTGGAGAAGGTGCGATGAGGAGGATTAGCTAGATGCATGACCAGAGGAAGTAGTTTGTTGACTCCAAGGAACAGGCTGTTTAATAGTGCTCTGGTGGCTTGGTCAGCCGTGGCTCAGCGGTTGAGCATCGACCTAGGATCCAGGCGATCAGGGTTCGTATTCCCGGTCAGGACACATGCCCAGGTTGCGGGCTTGATCAATGACTCTCATCATTGATGTTTCTATCTCTCTCTCTCCCTCTCCTTTCCTCTCTCTGAAATCAATAAAGATATATTAAAAAAAAAAAAAAAAATAGTGCTCTGGTTTAAGGCTGATAATATTATGCCCACATCAATCAAAAAGTTGTAACGTTGTCCTTTAATTTTTAGAGAAATGTTTCCTTGCAGTTTTAAAGAGAAGAATGGAAAATTGAACACCTTCAATGATAACTTTTTCTCTCTCTTTTTTTTAGTTTCTTAGTTCTGTAGCTCTTTTAATATAGAGCTCTTCCAAGGTTTTGGCGATCTGACCGTAGCACTATTTCCCATTCTACTTTTTGCTTGCATATTAAATTCCCTATTTCTGGTTTAAGGCCATTTACAAAAAGACAAGTGGGAGAGCCAAGGTCAAGTCTGCTTCAGGATTTACTCCTGAATACTGCCCCAAGGTAGTAAAGAACCTATCCCTGAAGTCTCCATCAGATTGCTCCTTTTAAGCTTGAAGAACTGAATCAGAGCATAGTCTATTTTCACAGGAAAGATAAAGGATAGCTTCTCAAAGACCTTGACCAACACCTACAGCTCTTCTAAACCCCTTCAGTTTCCTATGCAATTCAAGGTCTTTTAAGTCAGCAGTGGAGATCTTCCCGTTCTGACTTTATATATATCTTGGCAACTCTGGTAATAAGCCTCCAGGATGGCATCTAACATGGACCTGCTTTATCCTTCTAGTCCCCTTCTCTACCTCCAAGCACTAGAGGATGAGCCATCAGTCAGTACAGGGGGGTTCATATAAACAGTCTGGATGGTTCTTTGGCTATAAGGAAGCTTCTAATATTCTTCCAGAAGGATCATTTTCTATCATTCATACCTTTACCCTTTTCTGAAAAAGAGTGCTCTATCAAAAGAAGTCCCTTTCATTTTAATGTATTCCTTTTCTCCATGTCCAGGGTGGTCCTTGAGTGTGCCATAAACCCATAGGCCCTGAGAACACTTATCCTGATCACTTACAAAGGATAATGAATGAATCGATGGCTGAGCCAAGGGTTTGAACTAATTCTTGGCGTAAACACTGTGGCTGGGGAAACTCCAGAATGAGTAATTACCCCTGATCATGTAGTGGCTGTGATGCTGAAAAGTGATATGTCAATTGAAGTTTTGTAAATTAAATCTTATTAGAAAGGCAAAAATGATCATCACAGAAAAATGCCTTGGCACTGAGTACCTGCTGCCCGGCGGTGCAGTCTTGTTTTTCTGTGCTTCTGGACCCTCTGCGGCAACCATGCTCCGCCAGATCCTCAGTCAGGCAAAGAAGCATCCAAGCTTGATCCCTCTCTTTGTATTTATTGGAGCAGGAGGTACTGGGGCAATGTTGTATGTCACGTGCCTGGCATTGTTCAATCCAGATGTCTGTTGGGACAGAAAGAATAACCCAGAACCCTGGAACAAACTGGGTCCCAGTGAGCAATACAAGTTCTACTCAGTGAATGTAGATTACAGCAAACCGAAGAAAGAAGGTCCAGGCTTCTAAATGAAATGTTTCACTATAAAGCTGTTTAGAATGAAGGTCTTCCAGAAGTCATCCGCACAATTTTCCACTTAACCAGGAAATATTTCCCCTCCAAATGCACAATATCATGTTGCTGTATTGTGTTGGGGTTTACACTGATTAATAAATATTTGCAACTTGAAAAAAAAGAAAGAAAATGCCTTCTATAAAAAGAGACTTTCTTAATATGAACAGTCAGACTGTAACCTATAGATTATTGTTTGTTTAGCTAATGGCCTCTATATATCCAAGTCTCATCCCTGAATGCCCAGGTGCTGCATCTCAGCTTTCAACTCTCAACTACTCCGTGAAGCCTTCTCCTGCTACCCAGGTCTTACAACTCACGTTCTTTCATCTCTGCACTCAGTTTTAACATTGTCTCTGTCCTACAGTTCAACTCTTCAGTATTCAATTTCTGCGATGCTTTTTTTTTTTTGAAGAGAAGTATAATACTCAATACATTAAAAATGTTTTTCTTGCCTGGCTGGTGTGGCTCAGTGGTTGAACATTAATCCATGAACCAGGAGATCAAGGTTCTATTCCGGGTCAGGGCATATGCCTGAGTTGCGGGCTTGATCCCCGGTAGAGGGAGGCAGCCGATGAGTGACTCTCTCATCATTGATGTTTCTATCTCTCTCTCTGTCTCCTTTTCTCTCTCTGAAATCAGTAAAACATTTTTTTAAATAAAAATAATCAGAAAGAATATATGCACCCCTATGTTCATAGCAGCACAATTCACAATAGCTAAAATCTGGAAACAGCCCAAGTGCCCATCAGGAGATGAGTTGATAAAAAGCTGTGGGACATTTACACTGTGGAATACTATGCTGCTGTAAAGAAGAAGAATCGCGTACCCTTTGGGACAGTATGGATGAACCTGGAGAATATTATGCTAAACGATATAATACAAGCAGAGAAAGACTGGAATCTAAAGAACTTAATAAACGGGTGAACAGAATAGATTGAATGACATGGAAGCATGGATCAGACTGACGAATCTCAGAGGGAAGTAGTGGGGTGGGGGAGAGATTAACCAAAGAATTTATATGCATAACCCAAGGATATAAATAATGGTGTGGTGAGGGTCTGGGGAGGAGGGTGGGGCGGGGTGGAAGGGGACAATGGAGAGAAAAAGGGACATCTGTAATATTTTGAACAATTAAATTATATAAATAAATGAATAAATAAATAAATAAATAAATATGCTTTTCTTGCCCTGGCCAATGTGGCTTAGTTGGGTAAGTGGCATCCCATGCACCAAAAGGTCACTGTTTTGATTCTTGGTCAGGGCACATGCCCAGGTTTCGGGCTTGTTCTCCAGTGGGGGGCATGAGGGAGGCCGCCAATCGATGTTTCTCTCTCCCACTCCCTTCCTCTTTAAAATCAATAAAAACATATATTTTTTAAATGCTTCTCTTGCTGCTTCCCTTATTTTCTATATTTTTATCATTGCAATCTTCAGTATACTCATAATAAGAATTTCAGGTATAGGTTAACAGATGTCACTGTGAAAAATAAAATTTAAAAAGCTTACCATTCTTTTAAAATTAACTGATTCATTCATTCATCTACCCCTTCACTTATTGTTATTAAAACTGTTAAGATG